AATCTCTTAAGAAGAATTCAAAGGTGACCGACCGTCAAAAATTGCTGCTGTTACTTATGCATCAAAGAATTCCTAATTTGAAATTACAATTCGAAGGCGCTGCACAATATCACAATTATGTGCAATTTATTCTGGACAAAAGATTAATCATAAATTGCAGACAGAAAGTAGGTCAAGTGATGATAGCAGATGATACGGCCCGTGCTTGTTTTTGCTATGGATGGTCAAATAGAATAATTCGTAACAAATTTCCTGCTCTCTGAATGTTAAATCGGCAGTCATACTGTTCACTCCAGTAATGTTTTTAAAGTCGTTTACGAACCAGTAACGCTCAAGAACTGTAATGTCTTGGAAGACTACCCTAGGAGTTGTGTGACATTGTTCTATAACTGATAACGTGACAACCCACGAATGAACTCGGGCTTCCCTTCAGTAAGGATATCATAATCCACACGCACTTGCCCAGCCATCCAATCTGATTGACAAGTATCACTTGTCACTGCATCTTCTTAGAAAGTATCAAAATCTTAATGAATCGCTTTTCAAATTGTAATTAATTTTGACCCCTACTGATTTGTATTTCTCCCACCTACCCGCTTGCCTTAAACTTTCATAAACAGTTGTTCTTTAAATACTGCGTCATAGAATGGCCTAGACGGTCAGTGGACGCGGGCATGCTGTGATCTGTGATCTGTCTGTTATTTGATCTCTACTCTTGACGTTTCGTGATTATCCATAGCATCTTTTGACAATAAGCTTGGAAGAGTGGACTTTTTATTGTGTAAGGCCGTCTGCCAGAATCAGTTGATTCACCGAAAAACCCTCTGCAGAAGAAGTGTAAGAAGCACTTCACTGAAGAAGTTTAAAGCCCGATTCCTGCGGCAAGACGGTTATCCTAGCTACATTTTCGGCATAATCTGTTTACAGTTTACATTCTGCGACTTGCGATCAATTCAGCTGTCTCGGTGGTAAGCATTCCTCACAAAATCGTATGCTGTATTACGTAAGATGATATGTTACTTGATTATTTCATGCATTCCCTAGCGTAGAAATGGGTCGCAATAGTTCCTACAGCGTAAACAATGAACCAACAGATCGTCAAGCGGAAATCATGCAAGCGAATCGTGAGTCTGACATATCAACGCCTAGCGCGCCTTCCAGCAACCCTTTCGACGATATTCGTCGGTCGAGCGAGAGCTGTGAGTCTTTGGTCTGCGCTTTAGCGTTCATATGTAATAAACAAATATACTTTGGGTTCCTGCGAGTGCGAACATTAGAAACCGTCATTAGGTAGAACTAGAATATCAATTGTTACATCGGCATTCCAGGAACGTTCCAGAAATGCCTAATGCATTCTTAACCTCTTCATCTTTTACGGAAAGTCAATTAATCACATTTTAGACATAATATATCTCTAAAATACATCTCTCTTCCTTTCACTCAAGTCTTTTATCTTGTTATAGTTTTTAGTTCAAGTGCGTGGGTTTTTCTTCCGTTGCGCTCGATTAACCTGAGGGTAGATTGCTATCGAAGAGCCGATAGACCTTGTCATTTAAATTGAGGAGAAGATGAGCTCGAAAGAAAAGAAGGACAAGACACAGAAAGGTGAATAATAAATTATGGTTGTTTGCCTAGGATGACAGTTGACCAAGCTTTGTTGAAGCAATGGTAATGTGTAAAAACTGCCAACTAGCGTTTCGAATCGAGGGAAGCACGCAAGATCGTAATAGAGCCTTGGCTCGTGGACACCTCTGGAAACAGGGCGTCTGAGAAGTATTTTCTCCGTACATTATCCGGACATCATCAAGCAGACTGTTGATGAAAATTAAGCAAAAAATATCAACGAGGAGATATATTTGATTTATAGCCAAACTCTCAGAAATGATTTCGTAAGATATGTGTCTTAGACACTTGAGAGAATTGCCATTTAGATCGCGCGAGTCAGGAAAAACTTTCAAGGCCTGACCATTTGCTGTCTTCAAAGCTTCGAGAGCAATTCAGTCTCTACATTTTACGAGAAAAACTGTTCAGGGACTTTGGCCGGACACAAAAGTGCGCATATTCATGCTTCAATACGAAGCGGTCAATTTTTGTCCTCTTTTTGTTGAGTCCCGCTATCGCATGGATTACGAAGTCAGTCAGGTAATGAATTTAGGCTGATAGTTTCGAAAGAAACTGTTTGGGGCTGCGTCGGTGGGAGTAACGAAATAATTTGGATATATCAACAAAGTTGAAATGGTAAATTGGCCACCTTAATGATTACAAAAGCTGACGTTTCGAGCGTTAGCTCTTCGTCGGAGCGAATTTTCCTACTTAAGTGACGCACGAGTGATTTCCTGAAAATAAGGCTATAGTTAACTTGACTCACAATGCTGAAATCTGGGAAATGTATATTAAAAAAA